CAGGGACTGTGTCCTGCGCCGGTATACCGTAGCCAATACCTCGGCCTCGAGATCCCAAGGAAGGGAACCAGCGAGGGCGCAGGCGACCTCTCGGGAGATCGTACGGTACCCCCTGATGACCCTCACCGCGAGCGCCCGCTGAGCTCGGAGCAGCAGCGCCGCATTGCGTGCGGAGAGTGTGGGCGACCACACGGGAGCGCCATACAAGGCCATACTGCGCACGACCCCCAGGTACAGGCGTCGGACACCGACGCTGCAACCACCAACGTTGGGCAGAAGACGGACTAATGCACCTGCCATGCCCAGTAGCCTCGGAATCAACTCACCAAAATGGTGGTCGAAGCGCCATCGACTGTCCAGCACGATGCCCAAATATTTGAGCTTCGGCTGGACAGCGATCGATACTCCACCGACTATGAGCGTCGCGCCCGGAGGGGGTCCTCTCCGAACCGGGTGAAAGCATACGGCCTCAGACTTGTGGAGGGCCACCTCAAGACCTATTCTCCGAATGCGGCTAACGACGGTGGAGACCGCCGCCGTTGCAAGGATCGCTGCGGTCCTGTAGTCAGCTCCGCGAGCCGTCACCAACGTGTCGACCATCAGCACCCTAAACGCGTTATTGTATTGAACACGGAGAGCATTGTACGATCTTTGAGTATATCCAGCCCACAAGCTGCACGTGTAAAAGTTAGTACAGTAGGCCCTAAAGAGGGTGACCTTGACTTTAAGTGAACTCCGTGCAAACCTGCGAGCTATCATGTTTGCTCTAACCGCTCGCAACGCTCTCCGCTCTCGTTCAATATCTTCATCATCTTTGAGATCAGGGGTCAACACATGGCCGAGATATTTAAATTTATAAACTCTTGTCAATGGCGTTCCGTTGAGTACTACGGGAGGTATTTTATCATGCGTCCCACCCCTGGTCTCAAAGACCATGATCTCCGACTTTTTACAGTTGTACACCAAACCGTGTGATTTGGCGTATNGGTCTCAAAGACCATGATCTCCGACTTTTTACAGTTGTACACCAAACCGTGTGATTTGGCGTATCCCTCACACAAAGAAACAAGTTGCCTTAGGCCACAGATAGACGCGCTCAGCAGCACCATATCGTCTGCGTAGCTGATGTTGTTTACGCACACCCCGTCTATGAAACAACCAATTCTGGTCCTACTGAGCTCGCCGAACAGCTCGTTCATACACAGGTTGAAGAGCGTAGGCGAACTCAACCCGCCTTGTTTCACCCCGCACTCCAACCTATACGGAAGAGACAAAGCCCCAGCCTATCGCACATTGTTGATCTGGTTCCCATACCAAAACTTTAGAATGTTATTTATTTCCGTGGGTAGTTTAATATTTTCCAACTTTTTCCACAAGAGGTCATAGGAAACCAAATCAAACGCCTTGGACAGATCAAGAAAGCAGGCATAAACAGGTGTTCTTCGCCGCGTGTAGTATTTGACAGCATGCTTAAGACTTAAGATTGCACTCTCTGTCGACAAACCTGAACGGAATCCGAATTGGTTATCATGAAGATTTACATATTTATTTAGTTTAAAGTTAAGCATGCTGTCCAACACTTTGGATATAACAGTAGCTAGTTTGATAGGCCTATAGTTACTGCTATCTGCAAGGTCTCCAGTCTTATTTTTAGCTATTGGTACAACTACTGTTCGTATCATGTCCCTTTGTAATATTGGACGTGGGTGAGCCTATAATAATAGGTTGGAGAAAAAGTTTATATGCATTTTTTAAGAAAATTCGCAAAAATTTTTAATTTAGTTTATTTACGTTTAACTAAAGTATTTAGGTACCATTTTGTTCGAATACTTTTTGCCATCTTGTAAGTAGAGATATGATCCCATTGCTATAGAAACTTTGGGGCTTCTGATCAAAATACCGCGAAAATTGGTTTTGGCAGTCCTCCCGTGATGTTAACTTGACACTGCCTAAAAAATTCTGAAGAGACCGAAACAGGTGGAAATCTGAAGGTGCAAGGTCAGGACTATACGGCGGATGCATTAACACCTCCCAGCCAAGCTCTCTTAATTTTTGCTGAGTGGCTAAAGATATGTGAGGTCTAGCGTTATCATGATGAAAAACCACACCCCTTCTGTTGATGAATTCCGGCCGCTTTCTCTCAGCTTCTTGCTTTAATCTCATCAGTTGTTCGCAGTAGAATACAGAATCGATGGTCCTGCCTGGTGGTAACAGCTCATAATAAATAATGCCCTTCTAACCCCACCACACACACAGCATCACCTTGTTGCTAGTTAACTCGGGTTTTTCCACAGTCTGTGAAGCCTGACCGGCCTTTGCTCACGATATTTTTCGCACGTTCTTGTCGTACGTGATCCACTTTTCATCGCCAGTTATCAAAAATGGTTCGGTTTCATTACGTCGTAATAAAGAATCACAAATGACTACACCGTGAGGTGTAGGTAGGTGAGGTACCCAAATATCGAGCTTTTTTGTGGACCCAGTTTTTTTCAAATGCGCCAATACTGTTTTGTGGTCAATTCACAGTTCTTCAACTACGTCGTAACTACTGATATGCCGATCTTGCTCTACTTTTTCAAAAATGGCATCCATTTTATCCGTAACAGGGCGATCAGAGCGACGTGCATCTTTGACAAAAAAAAATCCGGATTGAAAATGCTTATACCAAATTTGTGCTACTCTCACAGACACTGCACTAGGTCCATAAACATCGAAAATTTTTTTCGCGGCTTGCTTTGCATTTTTACCTTTTTTGTAATTAAATTTTAAAATGCATCGAATTTCTTCATTAGATTCACTCATCTTGACAGTACATACGAAAAATAAATAAAAATCACACATTTTCCTAATTTGAATTTGGAATTATCTTCTTTAAAATTTAAACTTTTAATGATACCAAAACCAGCCAGATACAAATAGTATAGCCAAAGAGATTTTATTACAAGTCCATACATACTATAATGCGAAAATACGTTTTCCCCAAAATAATAATAAGAACCATTGTTCTTTATATTTCAACAAATAAGTCGAATAAACGTGGTACGTACGATTTACTACATAGGTTTTTTTAGAAAATATTTAAAATTTAAAAATTTCTAAAAATTATTAAAAATTTCTATAGAAAAAATACGATGAGCGCAAACGTAAAAAATTTAAATAAGGCATGCACAAAATAAAACAAAGGAAAAAGATCAGAAAGAACTAATTTTAATTAACAGTTCTTTGAACTACAGGTCAACGTTTTTAAGCTAAGATTCGAAAAAAAATTACAACAAAATAAATTACTCTTTAGGTAATAAAGATGTAGTTGAAATATTTAATGAGGCAATAAGTAAAGGAATTATTTTGGTTGAAAATATTACTGCGCTGCAACGTAATTGGTATTAAATCAGGGAATTTACTGAAAAATCACTGAATTGTAAAATCATTGTGAATATCACAGTACTATGTTTTTTGCCCACGTAACTGATAATAGCCTGAAGGATTTGCCTTCGGTAGTGGGTGATCTTACGGGACTTTGCATGAGAAAGGTTGCTAACATTTGTTCTAAAAAGCGCAATGTTTTGCTGGATCTACCATCGGATCGGAATAGAGACCCTCTGAGAAAATTCGGCGAGAAACAATGAACAAACACCATTTCTAAAATTATTCATATAAAATGACTACCTAATTCCATAGACGGCTGGCTCTCTGACCCTTCAAGCTGGAACGCATATGGCAAAAGCTTCGCGACATCCCTTGGTCTGATATCAAATTTCTTAATACCACTATCAACTGCATAATAAGAACGTTTCTGAAGAAATTATATTTTAATCATTTTTTTTTTTGATTTTTTTTATTGCCCTTGTAGGCATACGAGCATACGGCCCAACTGATGGTGAGTGGTTACCGTCGCCCATGGACTTCAGCAATGCCAGGGGCAGAGCCAAGCCGCTGCCTACCGCTTAATACTCTCCACAAGCCTCGTTTGAAGAAGGACATGTCATAGCGCTCGGGAAACACCGTGGAGGGGAGCTCATTCCATAGCCGGATGGTACGTGGCAAAAAAGACCTCTGGAAACGCACTGTGGATGACCGCNAAGGACATGTCATAGCGCTCGGGAAACACCGTGGAGGGGAGCTCATTCCATAGCCGGATGGTACGTGGCAAAAAAGACCTCTGGAAACGCACTGTGGATGACCGCAGTGGCTCCAGGTAGTATGGATGAACTCTACTCCGGTGGCGGGCGGTGCGATGGTAAAAACGAGATGCCGGTATCATCTCGAACAATTCCTCATATTAACGGTGTCCGAGAATTGAAGAAAATACAATGAACGTATTCATTCAAAAGAACATTATGACGCATAAAGCTGAAAAACGTTACGTGGCTATATAAGCAACGTCGGCTCCATTTAAAATCGTCCGTACCAGATATACTTTCATATGTAATTAAGTTCTGGACCTGGGTGCGCGGCTCTGAAAAGATGACCACTGTGAACTTTAAATTAATTTTAACAATTTCACTACTGATTTCGAATGTGTTTGGTGAGTGGTTTTAATTTTGTTATGCACATAAACATTTACTAATTGACTAATCATTGGTAAGTTATCATATAATTTGAACCGTTTCATAAGGTATTAATTTAAATGAGGATTTTATTTCTAATTAAGCAGTCACTTTTCTGTTAGATCCTTTGAGAATCCACATGTTGACGTCTGTCACTATCGGTTTTTAAAGCGTTTTCTGAAACTATCAACTAACGCTAACGCAAAATATAACTAGTTTGTTAGATTAAGACTAATAATCATAAATCGATTTTATAGAAAATCAATTAAATAAATGAACTATCGTGTCTTTATTAATATAAAATAGAGACGGAATAATGAACCCTATAATACTTAGTCTGGCCATAAAGACTGTTACAATTAAAAATAAACAAAATATTACATTTGAATTTGGAATCTGTCATTTTTATATGATTGCTCATTGAGTTTTCTCATTTTGGCGCCAATAAATTGTACAATATTTTGCGATATTAAAATGGAGTGGGGTGATAAAGAGAACCGAATCGCTGTGATTGCATTACACAAAGTAGGTATGGAGCCAAATGCAATTTTTAAAACTCTCCATACGCTTGGCATCAGTAAAATATTAGTGGAGTTATTGCAAGCGTTTAAACTACACACAAATATATTTGATTTCTTTATTTATCCGCAATTTGCAATAACTTTACTAACATAGCTCGTTTTACCATTTTAAGTTAGTATTTTAGTACAGTTTTTTGTTTCATTCAATAAAATATTTTATTTCCGCAATAAATCAATTCCAATTAGGATGCATGTTCTAACTAAATTATATTTTTGGCTAGTTTTTATCTTTAATTATAGAATACATTTATTACTCTTTTTATTGTGGACTGCATAATTGTCCTATGTCAATAACTGGGAAAAGGCACAAAAAGCTTTTTATCTATACTTAATATTAGAAAGCTGAAGAGTTTGTTTGTTTGAACGCGCTAATCTCAGGAACTACTGGTCCGATTTGAAAAATTCTTTCAGTGTTAGATCGCCCATTTATTGAGGAAGGCTATAAGGTTATATAACATCACGGTAAGACCAAGACAAAAGTGAAGCACCAATAAAGAATGTTTCAAAATAGGGGTTTAAATGGCTCCTGACATTCTATAATTCAAAAATATTTTCACTTTCTACGTAAATGAAGTGGGGGGTAAAATTTAGCGTTATGCCAAAGTAACTATTCCACGCGGACGGAGTCGCGGGCAAAAGCTAGTGTAGGGACACAGTTTAGCAGCGTATGCAGTTTTGTATATCGCTTGCATTTGGTCAGTCGTACATAGCCCACCCGACACGACAGACACTTGTGAATATACGGAGTTAAATTGTAATCAACTTGTTTTATTAATAAAGGGCAGTTAACACCCTTTACTCTAGCATTGAAGATTGCAGAAGATTGCACAAAGTGGCAATGAGTTGCTCGCTCCGGGCATTTCAATATTATAATAATTGTTAATATATAAAAAAAATCTAATATTAAAAAAATAATCTAATATTAAAATAAAATAAAAAGACATGCCCTCTGAGTTTCTTGCCAATTCTTCTCAGGACGGAGGCTAGTTCTTGTAGTTAGGTAGTTCTTTTGACGTTCAACAAGTATGTACTTTTATTTATGTTGAATAAATTTTTTTTGATTTGATTTGATTTGCCTAAGCAACCGTACACTAGTTATAAACAATTTGACATACATACATACGAAAATATGTTACTTCTTCTACATTCGGATAAAAACGATTACACCATATATTTTAATTTGTTTTCAGCGTTCGAACGCGTTCCTTGCGACTTAAGCGATGTGGTGTGCACGACGCAAGCTTCCGTCAACATATACCACAATATAGTTAATGGTAAACCAGAATTCGGAATAGATCGTAATGATCCTCTGCATCGGGACACAATACAATCGATCTCCCAACGCCTGAACTATACGTTAACAAATGCATATTTGTACGGATTGAAGCATTGTGCTATTCATCAACTGAAGTGAGTATCTATACCAGTCTTATTAGTATAGATATTATACATGAAGTAAAAACTTTGTATCCTTGTTTACGAAAATTGCGCGGACGGAGCATTATGAAAATTTCCAAACTTATAGACAATTAGATGATGACCGAGCTTTGCTCGGTTTTTTTTTTGATAACGCCATCTTGTTGTGTCTTTAAAGCGGTTAGTTGCCCTCAATTAAGAAAAATAATATTATTATTCGCCAATAGGTGTCGGGAAGAGTTGATTATTGAAAACACGAATAAAACAACATTTTCTGAAAATAAATCGTTGCTAGGTCGATTTATCGCCCCCGAAATCCCCTGTATACAAAATTTTATGAAAATCGTTGGAGCCGTTTCCGAGATTCAGATTATATAGGTATATATTATAAATAATATACAAGAATTGCTCGTTTAAAGGTATAAGATATAAAGAAGGAGTGCAGAATGCTAATTTAGATACGTTAAATCAATGAAAAATCATTACACACGCTACCATGTTTTTGATACACGAATGCATGTATACTCTTTTCTTTATTGTTAAAGTCTGTGGTCAAATTGAGAGTAGATCAATATTGTTTGTCTTTAATGTTATTTGTCTATATTTGTCTATAGTGTGTAGCCTTGGCGAAATCCGTGAGCAAAGAAGTAAAGGCTGACAATAGAATAATAATTTCAAACTTATAATTTAAATTAATAATTATGATCGAATTTCGACTACTGGGCGACCACTAGTTTGTATATATGGGCAAAGGAATTGATAATATTGTGATGTCATCAACTTTGGAACAATATGAGAACGAAACTATTTTATTGTCGTATCAGTAGACGAGCTAGTTACTTAAAGTATACCTATGGTTGTTAATAGAAATGTTACAAAGTGAAAGCCTCTACTTGGTACTTCAGGTCAGGCTCAAGCCTCAAGCTTCAATTGTATTGTCCAATGGCTCTTTTACCATTCAAATCAAAATAGATTAGATATATCACTTGTATCAACCATAAGCAGATAGTAGTAGTAAGTGTCAAGTAATTGTATTTAAAGTGTCCTCTAAATTAATTTCATTGGGAAATTGATTGATGATACAATAAGAACGTTCATTAAAGTTCCTGCTACGTTCCTTAGATCGACCTTGTTTGGGGTCTCATACTGGTAATGCTTATAATTTCTTTTATAGGCTGTATGCTGTAGGAGCGGTTCAAATATAGCGTTCAAATTAGACTTTTCTAATCTAAGACCATGCTTTCAGAAACTATACTATACTATAGGCAATTTTTTTTTTCGAGACTTGAAGAATACTTACCTTCAAAATATTTGGAGTGAGTAGTGAGAAAGAAGTGGGAAAAATTATTTGACGTACACTAATAACGTTAACCAAACATTATCTATCTGTACTAATATATAAATCTACAGTGGTTTTTACGGATGTCCCGTTAAAGCTACTGAACCATGCATCCGATTGACTTGAAACTTGGTTTTCACGTAGAAAATACATGTACTTAATGGATAGGCTAATATTTAAATGAGTGTTGGACTCCCTAATAATAATGACAATAAATAATAATGTTAATTTTAAATGCCCAGCGAAGCGGAGGAGTACGGCTAGTTAATAATAAAATTAAAAAAACAAATGCCGTGAAATTAGCTTAAATTTTGTCTATTAATTTCGAAAACGAAAGAAAATTTATAAAGACCTTTGTGTGGGTTTTTTTTTCAGATTTAACATGAACGAATTAACATGGGAATTTTACTTGACATGCCCTCGTCTCATTCTGGAAGCTGACTATGATATTAAAGGTGAAATAATGTCACTCAATATAGATGGAAATGGACCTTGCAGAATTGTTTATGGTAATTCTATTTTGAACTCTTTAATTTATCACACATTCTTTCTTGTTTAATGGAACGATAATGATGTAACATGGTGAATTATCACGTTCCGGCTATTTTGATATCGAAATAAATCACTTTACACATGGGATATCTATATCTATCTATAGCTTTTTTTCGATCCGGGGCCGAACCTCCTGCGAGGCTACCGCGCCTAGAGGGCGCACGCGGTATGCGGGACTTGACAATCTGCAGATGTTGGGAGCAGACCGCAAGCCCAAGGATCTTTTAGGGCCCTACCGCATTAAACGACTCCCCTGCACTCTTACACCCGACGTCCGATCTCCGTCCGGGTTCAGAACCCGGTTAGAGTAGGGGGGGGGGGGGGGCTTCCGCGGTCAATACTACAAACAGATTCAAGGGGCCACCCCGAGTACATCCGTCAAAACCAGTCTGCCAGGTCGGAACGCGATACAACGCCGACCGAGACAGATATCCGATCCTCACCAAACTCTCGTGATTATAAATCGCTGTCCACTTGAGATGTAAATGTGGCTCGATATATGTGTTTTCAGGGCGATGCAGCGGTGTTCAAATCCCGCAGGCGGGTACCAATTCTTCTAATGAAATGTACTCAACAAATGTTCACGATTCACTTCCACGGGGAAGGAATAACATCGTGTAATAAAAATCAAACCCGCAAATTTATAATTTGCATAATTACTGTTGGTAGGACCTCTTGTGAGTCCACACGGGTAGGTACCACTACTTTGCCTATTTCTGCCGTGACGCAGTATGCGTTTCGGTTTCAAGGGTGGGGCAGCCGTTGTAGTATACTGAGNACTCAACAAATGTTCACGATTCACTTCCACGGGGAAGGAATAACATCGTGTAATAAAAATCAAACCCGCAAATTTATAATTTGCATAATTACTGTTGGTAGGACCTCTTGTGAGTCCACACGGGTAGGTACCACTACTTTGCCTATTTCTGCCGTGACGCAGTATGCGTTTCGGTTTCAAGGGTGGGGCAGCCGTTGTACTATACTGAGACCTCAGAACTCATATCTCAAGGTGGGCATTGATGTTGGAGATGTCTATGGGTCCGGTCAACACCAGGTGGGCTGTGAGCTCGTCCACCCATCTATGCAATAAAAAAACTGCCCATAGACGGCTCTAAAGATTCTAATTGCATTACAGATAACTACATAATCGGGTTAACTGGAGGATTGCAGCTCTACAATGGCCCAAACGAGAACTCTTACATACACGTAACAGAGTTTAAAATGAGTTATTTGGATGTAAGAGGACTCGCCACATATCAATTCAACAATTTGTATAATTCGGATCCTGAACGAGGTTGGTATATTTTATACGTCACTAGTATTATTAACAGATAAGCAGATAAGCAGCCGTATTGACTATACTGAGACCTTAGAACTTATATCTCAAGGTGTGTGGCGCATTTACGTTGTAGACGTCTATGGGCTCCAGTAACCATTTAACATCAGGTGGGCTGTGAGCTCGTCCACACACCTAAGCAATAAAAAATAAAAAAAAGGCAGGGCGATTATTACATGTGTATTCGTTATTGAAAATTTCATAAGCACCATGTCATACCGTGTTAGCATTCTAAGAAAGCCTGCTACAAACATGTTCGAACATTACACCTATCACCTACAATAAAAACAGACCAAATAAATGGAATGGTGTGAAAAAGAAATGATAGTAAATCATGAAAATTATGGAGGAAAATTCTCATCATTATATAAACTGACAGCATGTAGTGTTGAACCAAACGATTCGTTGTGAATAAAAATAATAAAATGGTTACTATCGCTCATGGATCTACAAAAATTAGGGCATAACATGGCCAGATCTAAAAAGAGTAATATAGTGACAATAATGGCATAGACACATCACTATGGACGTCGTGACGTATTTCAAAGGGGAGCATTCCGAACACTGATTCAATTTATTTTGTACAGGGAAATGATATCAAAGTACTCGTATAAGGGACTATGTAGAATAAGTGATATTTAATTGACAATAAAGTTTGAGGTCAAGCCGTCATGCAACCTTCTGGATAGAGCAGCTTTGTGGTTTCCAATACGCTCGACCACTAGCAAAGCTCTTTTCCGTATATTCTTATTTATGGCAAATGCTGGTCTTTAATTACTAGAGTATACTGTGGGTAAGCTCTAGAGTATCACAAACCTATTTATATGACGACACAGTCTCTTTCCGCTTCGAAAATTAGGAGCATCTAAGGATACTTCGAAGTCGATCCTCTTTTTTTTTTCTCCTTCCTAAGCTGATAGCCTTGAGAGGCTATGTCAGCGTAAGAGCTCACGGGGCTCAAACCGGGAGTGTTGCTAACACTGGCCCTAGCAAGAGCAATGCTTCGCTGAATCTACCACCGAATCGGAAACGCTACCCACTGAGAAGATCCGACGAGAAAATCAGTGGACTGTGTCTATAGGTTAGTTTACTCACCGAACCCTTCGTCGCAAGTGACGGGTTCGGCGAGGACGGTGACCGGTGGACGATCCTCAATCTTTACTTCAAGTGCTGTATACTGTATATAACAGTAAGCAGCAACTTTGATGTGCTTCTGGAATTGCTGATGACCAAGAATCACAGTAGCACTCACCACCAGATCGGCTGCATGCTCGTTTGCCTACTAAGGCCAATAAAAATGTAGAAATAAAAGTGGGTATTTGAAATCGTGTTAATTAATAATGCTCAAAAATAATCACATAAGATTGTTTTTTGACTGTATTAAATTTAAAATTACTTATTCTCTACCATATTCTCCTAAAATAATAACCTTGTTCCAGCATTTATCATGAGTAATCTTCTCAACGCGAACTGGCAGAGAGTGACCGCAGCAACACAAGAGCCGGCAATGTATGCGGTATTCGAAAAGTTCATCGAAAGCGTCAATAAATACTTAAAGCACGTGCCCGTAAAACAGCTGTTTGCTAGAACAGTCCTTTGATATTCATCATTGTTTCCTGTCCTGTGTACAAACATCATAACTATACAAAGAAAAACATAGTTTTGTCAATTAAGATTAATAGTATCGGAAAATAAATCTATAAAAAAATCAACATTTTTATTTTAAAAACCCTTTTTCATATTTTTTCGATCGCAATAAGATTTTGGGTGTTAAATCTCACCAACAAAATACAAGCTTTTAAAGAAATAGTACATATATACGTAAAAACGTACCTAATCTAATTTAGCATGTGCTTCCGAACGACCATCATTTTGAAAGAATAACATCGTGTAATAATAATGAAACTAGTAATCTTTTGGTAAATTTGCTGAATAGCTAGTTCGTACTAGGGGATATTGTGAACTCATTCAGGATAGTTTACGCTGCTATTGTGTCTATTTTTGCCGCGGAACAATCATAAGCTTCTTCATCAGTCATCAGCAGTCATAAGCGTATTTTATGTTAGTCTTGATTTTGACGTTAAAAGTCGATATTCACATGTGAAACCTAAGGTGTCCTACAAATTTACACGAAGGGTACCGGGCGTTCACCTATCCAGTACGAAAAATAAACGTATTCGTATTTTTTATATGTAAATTTTGTTTTTCTCAACATCACACGTACATATAATTAAAATTTTAAGCTTGTTATTTCATTCGAAAAATGAAACAAAAAACTAGGAACGGAAATGAAATAGTTGGCTCGCTCATAATTCTATCTAATATGAATTATTGTAATTATTATTTTCATTAAAAATTGATGTAGGTATCTAAAAATGTATAAAAAGATTACCTTATTATTATCGCCGCGATGTGACTTTTAGCGCTCCCTTTTTTTTTTTTTTTGAGGTATTGGTTTCAATGTTTGCCCGAAGGTTTCTCCAGCTCCACTAGGACCGGTGTGTGAGCACGGGTTCAACCAGAAGGCACCATTATCTACAGCATCCGGGCTCAACTTCCGACCGAATCCAAACTCTTTCTCTAAAGCATCTATTAATCACGCCTTGCCTTTACCAGATATGCTTTTCTATTTTCTGCCTCAATTTGCCCGATTTTCAACTTTCTCAAGCTCAAAGCTGCTTATCTCATATACGACGATATCATACAAAGACTTTAATACGAGTGAGTTGTATATACTAAATATTTGCTTATACAAATAACACGAATGCATCTGTTTTTATTTCGTATGCCTCTTCGATATTTTTGCCTGGCAATCTGAGTATCGTGGTATATTGTGTTTAAATGATTTAATATTACTCTAAATCCAGGGCGGATGAGCTCGCAGTATACATGGCTTAGTGAACAAAATGAAAGCCAAGATCTTCGCAGTAGCTTGCGATTTCGTGCCAGTCGTAGATTCAGCGAATCACTGCTTTTATTATGGTAAGATATTGCGTGATGTACTCATGCTCCAGTCAAGATTTTTTTTTTTTTATTGCTTAGCGGAACTCCAGCGGCATGGGTCGGGTAGGGCCGCCGTACCGTGGATACCGACGTCGTTGGTCGTCGACTATCGCCTCGACGACCCGTCGCCGCGTCGGTCGGGCGTCCTCGGGGTGGCGCCGCGTGTCTGGTTGTAGTGTTGACCGCGGGAACCCCCCTACTCTGACCGGGCTCTGACCCCGGGCGGAGATCAGACGTTGGGTGTAAGAATGCAGGGGATTCGTTTAGTGCGGTAGGGCCCTAAAATTCCCTGGGCCGCGGTCTGCTCCCAACACCTGCAGATCGTCAAGTCCCACATACCCCGCGCGCCCCCTAAGCGCAGGGACCTCGAAGGAGGTTCGGTTCCAGTCCGAAAAAAAAATACATTTTGTGTCAAGGCAACATCGTATAGACATGTAAACGAGCATTCAGCTAGACCGCGATTACCGGATATCTTTCACAAAGATCCTATCTTATCCTCCTACCGCTGTAGTATTAACTTGAAAGCATGCATGTATTTATTACAGACAGTGGCGTGGTCATAAAGGGTGGGACAATACACATGCTACAGTAATCGCAGAAATTCAAGCTTCGATGTCTACACTACCTGCCACTTAACACTGGATCAGTCGTAACTTCTTCTGCAAATCTAAAGGAAAAACACAAAGCCATACATTATCTTAAACCTTATTCAGATTTTCTAGGCATCTTTTTAAACATTTGAAATCATTCTTAAATTAAATAAACTTCGTTATAAGACGAAGACTTTATATTAGCACCTATTTTGCTTAAGACAGTCTATTAATTAGTGGCTAAACCCATAAAACGTTATTAACGTATTATATAATTTCCGAATATTTATATTAGTTAGGAGCGTTGACGTCAATTGTTTTGTTTAAAACTACCTATTTATTCTTTTATACTATAGAAATTACCAGAATATTATCTATAAGATTTCTTTGATTTCACCAACAAATAAAACATAACAATACAACATGATAATATTAATTTTCCTTTATGGAAAAAGCGCTTTTCAGAGCTCATGGCTGACTTGATGGTAAGCGATAAGAGGAGAGAAAGCATAGACTTCACAATACGCTCCCAAAAGGCTGTCCTTTGAACCAGAACGCGAATTTTTTTTTTATCACTTAGATTGGTGGACGAACTCACAGCCCACCTGGTGTTAACTGGAGCACCTGGTGTTAACTCTTAATAGCAAGAGTGCCCCAAGAGCCGCCTTTCGGTTTTCGCTGAATGATCCAATGCACGGGTAGGTAGCATGAACCTCGTTATTTTCACTGCGGAGGTGAGTCTTGTCAGTTCGCACGGGTAGGTTCCACCACCCTACCTATTTCTGCCGTGAAGCAGTAATGCGTTTCGGTTTGAAGGGTGGAGCAGCCGTTGTAACTATACTTGAGACTTTAGAACTTATATCTCAAGGTGGGTGGCGTATTTACGTTGTAGATGTCTATGGGCTCCGGTAACCACTTAACACCAGGTGGGCTGTGACCTCCGCCACACATCTATGCAATAAAAAAAACGCTTTGACCACGACCACTTTGCCAAGACTGCCATACGGCTGAGAAGAATCGCATAGACACAACAGCGTGAATGTCATAAGCCACCTTGAAGGCTGAATGATACTAATGATACTGCTATCAAACCGGAATGGATTATTTCTCGGCGACGGAAATCGGCAGAAGGGTAAGTATTCATGCATGTGGACTTGCAGCATTTACAATGATCACTAAGTTAGAAAATCAACGTAAGAAAACTAGCAAAATTAAAGTAGTTAACAGAATATTGAAATGTCAACGAATAACACCTTAGTAATCCGTGATCACGAAAGCTGCAAAATATTCGAATTTCGGAAATACTATAATGACAAGACAATTCTTGTTGTTATTTATTTATTTATTTAATATATTTTGTACGCACAGCTGTTAGAAAAAACACGACAATAAGGATACAGAGTACAAGGGCACTACTTATTTCATGTGGAAATCTCTTCCAGTAGGCCCGCAAAAGGAAAGAAGAATTAGGAATACAAACCTAGTGCATACAGTAAACATTAGATATAATAATATATACATATTAAAAGGTACAAAACAATGTATATATATACAAATACACACACACACATATATACATACACACATATACTTACTTTATATTATAATACATTATACAAATATATATTATACTTTTATTTAAGATGGTAAGGACAAATAGTGTTATTTTTCTTATTTATTTATTGTTAACATAGAAGTAGAAACACAATTATAATTTGCATAATATGTGCTTGAACTAGGTGATAAAACCTGTATCTCAAGCAGCGGTGAAGCAATTACAATGACAGAAAGAGATAAAAGATTCAATTATGTTCATGATTCGCGAATATCTGAGAAAATACAAGTATCTAATCTTTTTGTCACGTACCATCCGGCTATGGAATGAGCTCCCCTCCACGGTGTTTCCCGAGCGCTATGACATGTCCTTCTTTAAAAGAGGCTTGTGGAGAGTATTAAGCGGTAGGCAGCGGCTTGGCTCTGCCCCTGGCATTGCTGAAGTCCATGGGCGACGGTAACCACTCACCATCAGGTTGGCCGTATGCTCGTCTGCCTACAAAGGCAATAAAAAATCTTAGGTTCTTCATATAGTTTTACTCGTCCTTGAATAATCATGCCCACACGTTCTACCATAAAGCAGATAAAGAATGGAACATTCCGAATTTACGACAAACCGTCAGTGAAGGTACGTACGGTTTAGTGCTGCCATCATACTTATCCGTGCCTCTCGTTTCAAAATTAACTTAAAAAAATAAACCTTATTTCCTTTTGCTCTAATAACAATGTATTATATAATTAATGAGAGAATACACTATCGACACTTCCTAGCGGTTATAATGCGAAACTAGTTTTATTATTATATATACCGGCATAAATATTAACATAATTTATAATGATAATCTAATGAATATGAAAATAAGTAGTCAACTCGAGAGCTAGTGATAATTACCAGTGACATTCAGAACTCATGTCTAAAGCTAGGCGGCTGTATTTACGTGTTTGATGTATGTGGGCTCCTCCGGTAACCTTTTAACACCTGATAGGCTATGAAGCTCATGAGCTCATTTACCTATCTAAGTAATAAAAAGAAAATCTAATAAAAAAACTGCGACAAACTGTCTCGATAGTACACTCCTGGTTTTTTTTTTTCCGGGCCGGGACCCGAACGTCCTACGAGGTCCCCACGCCTAGGGGGCGCGCGGGGTATGTGGGACTAGTCCACGAGTGCGAACCGTGGGCCCAAGAATGTTTTAGGGCCCTACCGCACTAAAGGACTCTCTTCTTTTTTTTTTTTTGATCGGGCCATGGTCCGAACCTCCTACGAGGTCCCCGCGCCTAGGGAGCGCGCGGGGTATGTGGGACTTGACGATCTGCAGGTGTTGGAAGCAGACGGCGGGCCCAAGGAATTTTAGGGCCCACCGACTAAAGAANCGAGTGCGAACCGTGGGCCCAAGAATGTTTTAGGGCCCTACCGCACTAAAGGACTCTCTTCTTTTTTTTTTTTTGATCGGGCCATGGTCCGAACCTCCTACGAGGTCCCCGCGCCTAGGGAGCGCGCGGGGTATGTGGGACTTGACGATCTGCAGGTGTTGGAAGCAGACGGCGGGCCCAAGGAATTTTAGGGCCCACCGACTAAAGGAGTCCCCTGCACTCTTACACCCGATCTCCGATCTCCGCCCGGAGTCAAAACCCGGTCAGAGCAACGGGTTCCCGCGGTCAACACTACAACCAGACTCGCGACACTACCCCTAGGACGCCCGACCGACGGGTCGTCGGGGCGATAGTCGACGACCAACGACGCCGTATCCGCGGTATGGCCGCCCTACCAGGCCGCCCAGGCGATGCCGCTGGTTTTTCGAGATACCTTGCCGGGTCGGAACGCGATACATCGTCGACCGGAAAATGTTAACCCAACTCAATTAACAATGTTAATCTAAAGAATTATGTAGACACTAAATCAAGGGGAAATCTGAGCTTGCAAGATCAGGGCTATATAGTAGGCATACATTTCTCAACAAGCTCTGTTGAGGTTGCAGTCAGTCAGACGTTAACATCATGAAGAAACCACACCCCTCCTCTTGATCGACACAACAGTTCTAAATACAAAAAACTATTTTGTGGCAAACCTTGGTTCTTGAACTATTTCATAATCACTAAAAAGATAATTTTACGATATTATTCCTTCGAAGTGGAAATCGCTCGTAGGCATTTAATATGTTTGATACATATTTTTTTGGAAACATCTTTTTATTCAGAGTCGTATCGTTTGATCGTATACCGGTCGTCTGTGGCCGTTTAAGAAAGATTAGTCCGAAAATCTCATATACAGGACTTTCATCAGCATTAAATATCCTACTGTTGAAACAACGAAATCTAAACTTAGCTAAATTGTTGAATATGCTCCGGCGAAAAATATGTAGATTCTGACCTTACAGGTTTTTTTTGTAAGAAATTCGTTGTAAATTAAATATTAATCAACACATACACATATAAAGAAGAAACCAGTTGAAGAGTACACATATTCCGCTCTGCGATCAGCACGAGGCAACACAATGCTAAAGTTAACATTATTCACCATATTTAGTGCTATTTTTTGTGCCGAAACTTGTTACGGTGAGTTTTTAGATCGACTTTATGACTTTGAGAGTAGTAAATAAAAACAAATAAAGTAGCATTGAATCGGATGGTGGCGCGACTATCTTAATCTTATCTTAAACTAAATAACTAAATTAATTGGATAATGTTTTTTACTCGTGCTAAACCTTTATTGCTCACAATAAAACGCTTTTTTTTTCGGAAATTTGTTTCATTCGTATTAAAATTAATGTCGTCAATGTAAGCATTCAAAAATTTTGTACAAAATACAACAATATTTTGGTATTTTTCAATTTATATTATACTATGTATCATAGTTGAAGTAATTTCAACAACAATCAATTTAAACAGTCAAATTTTATATACCTACTATATTTTATCTTACTTTTTATTATTTCCTATTACCTGGTCTATTTTTTGTTGGCCAGTTATACCTTTAACTTATAGAAAAATCTTTACTGCAATTTTTATTAGCCCCAAAACCATACATGAAAAGCTTATTCTCTAGATATTCTTAGAGTAGAGCATGCAGAGGGCTGCATCCTCTACGTTAAGTATTTTTGGAATAGTAATTATGTAGTTTGGTTTCTGCAAAAAATCTATAATAGTTAGTAGTGTTTATCAAAACTGTCTCAAAGTCCTCGGATATCGCATTTAGATAATTGTAAAAATATCAAAGAAACCCGTAGGTAGGTTGATGAAAAATGATAAATACATTAACCACATATTCAATATACCTAATGCAGGAAAATCTAAAGAATCTCTCATAAGGAAACAGAAATAATAAATATTATAAACAATCCAGATAAATCTATACATATAAATAAAATTGGTATGTCTGTTTGTAATATTAAAATAACCGCTTTTTACTACATGCATATGAATATATATACGGTACATACACCAAAATAACATTTTTTACAATTTTTGTCTGTCCGTCTGTCTGTTTCTTCCGGCTAATCTCTGGAACGGCTGTACCGATTTTGACAGGACTTTCACTGATAGGTAGCTGATGATATAAGGAGTAACATAGGCTTTAGACTAGATTCGCCTCACGGTGTCACCTGCGGTACGACAATAGCCGCAGATAACATCGCGTGACTCAGCTAGTATACAATATAAATAGTAAGATAAGCGGCTGCATACAAAACCAGTTCTATTTTAATTTGTTGCTGTAAGACGACCTTGCCAGAAATGCCGCGAATGAAAATGAAATTAACTGTTGGATTCAATAATCAAATCAATTATATCTAGTATATCTAATGCTCAGAAGGACGTATCTCACTTTGAGATGAAGTTAAAAATTCAATCCCATTAAGCATTTTAACATGGTGATCCACAACAGAACCTAAGCTTCGTGGTAGAATTAGGCAGTTCAATAATGTTATGATACAGAAAATGAATTACTTGGATTGTGATACGTGTGGCGGGAGCCATCATAGATTACAAGATTTTTGGCAGAAGCCTGAATCTCGCTAACAACATTTCGAAAATAAACTTGCAAATATACAAATTCCGGACAACAATATTTGGACCGTCAGTCTACTGAACAATCTTAACCCCTGAGAGGAAGATCTTCCCATCCTCACTCTCAAATACAAATGAAGACACCTTAAAATTTTATATAATTTAAATTTCATGTTGACCTGATTCCAGGCCTCGACATAAAAAAATGTAAAGAGGAGGATATCAAATGCGTCACAGCGAATTCGCAAGCTCTTTATGATTTGACAATTAAAGGTGATCCCAATTTGGAAATAGAACCTGCAGATCCCATTTATCATAATTCGATTGATGGGAATCTTTCTATAATCAAATACACCCTAACAAACACTTCAATTACGGGATACAAAAAATGTAAACTTAACTATGCTCAGTAAGTATATTTTGTTAGCAAATATTTTTTTGGATGACTCGCGTATGTTGATGGCTTTTTTTTTTTCTTTTTTTTTCCTACCTAAGCTGATAGCCTTGAGAGGCTATATCAGCGTCGCCTTAACTAGTAGGTGAGCTCACGGGACTCAAACCGGGAGTGTTGCTAACACTGCCTCTAGCAAGAGCAGTGATTTGCAGAATCTACCACCGGATCGGAAACGCGACCCAAAGAGAAGATCCGGCGAGAAACTCAGTGGGCTGTGTCTATGGGTTAATTCGCTCGTCGAGCCCTTCGTCGCAAGCGACGGGTTCGACGAGGACGGTGACCGGTGCTTGTGGTGCCTAAAAGCACCTTTAATTGATAGTAGATATGGCTTTTCACGATTTGATATAATGTATATAGGCTGCGGGACTTTAAATTAATCTAACATAATTATTTCAGCAGCACATTGTAATGTTAACTTATTACAAAAAATATTATTCTTACAGGTTGTCTTTGGCAAAATCTTTTCTGGAATTCAACTTACTTTGTCCGGAAATCCAAGTACACGGCTTATACGAAATTGATGGTAGACTTATTGTTTTACCAGTGCAAGGCAAAGGAGACTTTAAGCTCGATGCCCGTATGTATTAATCAACGAGTTTGTTTTCTGCAAAATGTTAAGTTGTTTTGGAAGTAAAATGTTACGTTACAAATCCTTTTTTTGGCAAATGAAGTAATAAGCCCTTGGTGATGATAGGCTGTTACTGCAGTCTATGGGCCCAATACGAACACCTATCTCGAGATATGTGATCCAAACTACTTACGTACATTTTGGTCATTGAATCAAACTTTCACTTTTTTTATGAGACAACTGTGATCCCAAAAAAAAAATTAATACTACCTACTTCATCAACAGACCACAGTCATCTACTGCTAGACATAGGCCTCTCTGGATTTACGTCACTGAGCCCAAACTTCAGCTATTCTCGTCTATTTGCCACTAATTATTTTATTAAAATCATTGTACCTTTGTAAAGAAATTTCAATTTATTTCAGGCCGGTATAACATCACGATACATGCTGAAATCAAAACAGTCAATGGTAATGACGGAAAATCTTATTTAGCGGTGAAGAATTTTAATATTAACGCTGACATCATTGACGGAATCGATTTTGATTTGACTAACCTTTTCAACGGACAAAAAGAATTAGGTAACGACCGTTAGTCTATTTAAATTTTATTTTTTTATTGCTTAGATGGATGGACGAGCTCACAGCCCACCTGGTGTTAAGTGGTTACTGGAGCCCATAGACATCTACAACGTAAATGCGCCACCCACCTCGAGATATAAGTTCTAAGATCTCAGTATAGTTACAACGGCTACCCCACCCTTCGAACCGAAACGCATTACTGCTTCACGACGGAAATAGGCGGGGTGGTGGTACCTACCCGTGCGAACTCCCAAGAGGTCCTACCACCAGTGAAAAGTAGTTAACTAATAATGATTAAATAAAGAAATGATGTCGTGTCGTTAAAAAACAATAAAAATCGTCCTTTGTTCCACTGCTGCGTAAAAAAAAACGGACCAAAAATTTTTACATTTCGCACGTCTCCAAGCCGTAATCAATATCTGTTAGTTGTGACTGCGACCTATGTCACTGTTAGGATATTGCCTATCATCCTTCATGTCCTCGGTGAAATATATATATATATGCTGAGGTATATATTCAGTCAGGCAAATCCAATCAAACTGTGTTCTCGTAATTTCACCCTAGACTCTCCACAAAAGCTGGTGAGTGTCTTTTTATGATACGTATTTAGATTCATCGTTGCGCCCAGGCGGCCAGTATACTTGTGTACTAGATGCGCATATACCCAAGGTGACACTTTACAAAACTTGCATAAGGCCCGTCATGACTTACGCGAGTGTGGTGTTCGCTCACGCGGCCCGCACACACAAAGACACCCTCCAATCACTACAATCCCGCTTTTGCAGGTTAGCCGTCGGGGTTCCGTGGTTCGTGAGGAACGTTGACCTACACGAGGACCTGGGCCTCGAAACAATTTGGAAATACATGAAGTCAGCGTCGGAACGGTACTTCGATAAGGCTATGCGTCATGATAAACGCCTTATCGTTGCCGCCGCTGACTACTCCCCTGAAGAATCCTGATCATGCGGGAGCCAGTCACCGTCGACGCCCTAGACACGTCCTTACGGATCCACCAGATCCAATAACTTTTCGCATTAGACGCCTTTAGCTCTAATACTAGAAGCAGGCTTAGGGACCCCGGTAACCGTACTCGTCGAACTCGACAAAGAGGTCGACGTGCAACGTAGCCCATGAATCAGCCCGCTGAGTTTCTCGCCGGATGTTCTCAGCGGGTCGCGATTCCGATCCGGTAGTAGATTCATTCGCGAAGCAATGCTCTTGAGTTGTTAGGTCTCCTTTGGAGGCGCTCGGGCAGTTGTTAGCAAATCTCACCCCTCCTGGCTGAGCCTTTGCTCGCCCACCTGTCCTGGTGAAACTGGAAAGGCCTTCGGGCTACCAGTAATCTTTCAATCATAAAAAATCGCGTATACCGGTGTTAAAACCTGAAGGGACCTGTCTTTCTAATTATATAATAATAATAATCGACTTTCGACTTTTAGATAAATTCCAATTTGATAACATATTTATAGAACAGATTTGATTTTACAATTTCAGCGGAACCAGTCTTGCAGTTCGCACGTGAAAATTGGAAGGAAGTAGCGAAAGAACTCCAGGGCCCGATCCTAAATATAGCTATCAAGCGCCTTATCAAAAACTTAAACAAGCTTTTGAAAACTGTGCCAGTCGACCAGATGCTTATATCTAATTAAAATGCAAAATAACATACAAATGTGCAGAGTTCTAAATGTGAACAAAACTAGATTTACAATTTTATGTCTAGTTTATTTTTAAAAATTTTGAAAAATATTTTAGATTTTTAGTGATTATCCTTGGCCACGTACAGACATCTACTGCTAGACACAAGCCCCACGGTTCGCTGTAGTGAACTGCGCTGCCTACTTCCACTAGATTCCCGCGACCTTCATCATGTCGTTAATCAACTTTGTCGGAGGTCTATCCAAGCTGCGTCTTCTAGTTGGCTGTCGTTTGAAAACTACTCAGCCCCAGTGATCATCTGTTCTACGAACGATATGCTCTCATTACCACGAAATCTTCAAAGTATCCAAGATTAGTTTTAAAACACATTTATTACCAATACCATTGACTTTCACTTATTAGATTGAGTTCCAAGAGAAAGCAATACGTGTTTTTATAGGACTTAAAATGCTATAACTATCCACAATGACATTTACTAGTAGTGGTTGTTTTAGAAAAAAACATGATAAAAATATTATTAATATTGTAAGTTTCAATCATTGTGTTTTAATGAGTGGAAGTTCTAAAATTTAATAAATAAGAAAATTAAGCAACTTTTTTATTAACGCTATCTTATATATTGCCCTCTTATTTAGTAATTATTGCGTTGCGCTGCATGACAATTCCCACATATAGCGATTACCTATGGTTTCCCACATTTTTTTCGCGCGCCTTAGACGCGGGAACCTCGTAGGAGGTTCGGCCCCCAGCCCAAGAAAAAACTCGGGATTCTTCACTTGACTGTTGGGGACAGCTGACACATTAAGCCGTCTTCTTTGCAATACGGGGGGGGGGTTCTAATTAGGTGACGCGACGTCTCTATACGAAGGCGGTGCTGTCGACCGCTGTGTACCTACCTACCATATAGAGCCAGCCTCTGACCGTGACAATGGCAAAGTCAAGACTCTTCGAGGCTACTGCATGATTAAATAACGTCCAAACTTCAAAGACATTAACATAAATACACACGTATATAACTACGGATTATAAGAACCATGAAAGATTTTTTTATTGCCTACATTATTGGACAAAGTCACAGCTCACCTGGTTTTAAGTGGTTACTGGAGCCCATAATAATAATAGATTTTTATTACACAATGTTATTCCTTCACCATGGAAGTCATTCGTGAACATTTGTCCAGTACGTATTTCATTAGATAAATTGGTACCCGCTTGCGGGATTCGAGCACCGGTGCATCACTAGATACGAATGCACCGGACGTCTTACTTATCCTTTAGGCCACTTCACTTTTTTAAACTCAACCAACAGTATTATGTGTCGGTGACAACATAGTGATCCTATAAGGGTTACTACGCTTATCTTTATTTTGAGGTTCGGAACCTTAAAAAAAATTAATTGTTATAAAACAATTAATTTTTTAAACTTAAATTAATGATTTAAGATAATCAAAACAGTAAGATGTTTTGAGCATCGCTTTATGGTAACTTCTTTTTTATTCATTTCAGTGTCAGCTATAAATGTGGTTGTGTTCACGAAACCATAGCCAGTGAGGGAGCACAGTGTTAGTTAAAACAACATGTATCGCATATTTTTAATATTATTTATTTGTTTTTTAGGAACGGAAACGTTTTCAGGTGAGTTTTTTTTTAAATTTAAACGTCGTTTGATAATTTGTAATAGTATATTTTCTTATTTCGTTCCCTATATTTAATACTCTTTTATTAGCTTCATACGAATGTTATTATCTATCGTAGTCTGTAACGGGATCTTTGAACATGATTTTGACCCCTTTCAAAACGTCGGGTTATTTCGAAATTTGGCATACATATTAAGGACCGATGACAATTCAATATTTTAAACAGTTAGATCCTCACTAGAAAAAACAGAATTAGCGATTTTTTGTTTTCCTGAAAGCCGGACTGTTTTTGCGTCAATACGCAGAAGGAAAGTTATCAGGGGCCCGAACACTTTCTTGGATAAGTTACCAACTTTGATTAAGATTAAATTTTCGGAGAGGAAACCTGAGAATCGGCTATCTCATTCAAGGGGAACAGACGCCCAAATTCGTCATTTCTCGGATAGGCTACCGACTTAGAATAAACATCTATGACTTCTCGATTTTATTTAAATGTTGTGGTACAGTTTAAATATCATTATGTCAATAATTATTAATTTGTACAGCGATTGAATTAGGCTTTGTTAATATTGTGAAAGAGCTGTTAATATTCGGGACTGGTCCCAACACTGTTTTAGGTAACGATTTTAACTATTGCCTGCCGTCATGACCAGCGTAAAATTATTAATTTATTATAAAATTATTTATTAAAATTAATAAAGAAGCTTAAGAAAATTGTAGAAACCGTCAAGGTTTTTTTAAACTATTTATAATTCAAATCTATTAAAATTTGTTGTCTATTTTTAGTTGAATTTTCTATAAAAGCGTGTTTTTAGTTTTTTTTAAATATTATTTATTCTGATTACCATCTGATTGAGCGGTGCTACCGCAGCTTGAGTTCGCGCTGATGACTACCGTCATTCTTTCTATTTCTGCCGCGAAGACAACTCATGTTTCAAGGTTGGTAACGGCATTTACGTTGTAGATGTCAATGGACTCCGGTAACCACTTAACACCAACCCGTCCTTACTGTTTTTACCTGTTTTTCTAATGCATTTTTCTAATTTTAAACTGGTTAAAGTTTTTAATTTTAAAGTGGATGTCGATGTAGTATTGTTTTGTCGATGACTTTGCTAACCGTTAAATAAACCAATTATATATAAATACCAGAATACTACAGTGAAACGTATCTCGATCGAACCGCAAGAGTGAAAATTAGATTTCAATATACGATTTCACAGTAGCGACACCGTCTGTATTTCTCTGAAATTATTTTTCCTACTTATTCGCTGATAGCATAAGGGGCTATTCCAGCTACGGGTAAGTGAGCTAACGAGCTAAACTTGACAGAATATGCTAACACTAGCCCTGGCAACAGCAGTGCTTCGCAGAGTCTAGCACCGGATCGGAATCGCGACCCACTGAGAAGATTCGGCGAGAAACTCAGTGGGCTGTGTCTATGGGTTAGTTCACTCTTCGTCGTAATCGACGAGTTGAACGAGGACGGTGACTGGTGCTTGAGAGACTTAAAAGCACCGAGTGTGAATCCAGGGGAATAAATTAAGCTTGACCTTCAAATTAATGACAGCTTCAGAAAATTCAACAAATAATGAACTTTATTATTAAAACTAGACTAAACATTTTAGCGTTGTATATTAAAACCGGTCTTAAATTATTATTATTTTTTTAATTAAGATATTCTGTTCATTAAATTATATTGACGTTTGAATACTAATTTTAATTATGGTTTGGAGACATCAACTTATTACATATCTATGTGCATATTACAGACATTCCTTCAGTCAAAGTCTTTGTGCGAAAAAGTACCAATCTGTACAGCCACTTCGATTAGTAACACCAGTAATTCTTACAAGAAATTGAATGCCATTTTGCACATCTCGTCTCGTCACATGAGATCGATGTCTCAACTGCATTGTATATGACCATGCCAATTATAAAACCGGAACTCATACCGGTTTGCGACAGAAATTGACAGTGTAGTGGTTGGTGTCAATACGATCCACTAATTTAACCAAATTTATCCTTTTTACGAACTTGATTTGTATTATGTAATACACGATGTCATTTGCATAGCTGTTTAAAGTGCGTATCTTTTTTTCAAAGCTGTACCTGCGTTTAAAATCTTTTGTCATTCCAGTTCCGTCTCTATCTCCGTGTAAGAAGGAAGATAATGTGTGCCTTTTGAAATTGTCTAAGGCTATTTATGCTCTGGCTGTGGTCGGAAACCCTGAACTGCAGATCGAGTCTTCGGACCCTCTTCAGCGTGACGAAATCATCGGTAACCTTGGTGTCATCAACTATAAGCTTTTTAACAACACATGCCTCGGTTACAAGCGTTGCGAAGTACTAAATTCAAAGTAAGCTTATCCTCTGTTCTACTGGAAGACGATCGTTTTAATAGGAAATAAACATATCGGAAGGCAGCGGCTAGGGTCCCTAGCATTGCTGACGTCCATGGGCGACGGCAACCACTTGCCATCAGGTGGGCCGTACGCTCGTCTGCCTACAAGGGCAATAAAAAAGTCTTAAAACTAAGTAAGCACTCCGGTAACCAAAAACACATAGTGGGTCATCGTAAACTCCTTCAGAGCATCTAAGCAATAAAACTAAGCAATACAAATATCTAAACAATAAAAAAAAAGAGCTTCTACGCTTCAGAAGCTCATAAAAACACAAAGTGAATGGCGCTTTAGGTTATAATATTATAGTCATAATTGTACTATGTAAATGCATGATTTCAGTCAGACTAAACAGTCAGGTTGGTGGTAACATATTACGTCACTAGTTTTTCAGATTTATTTTAACAATTAATCCTTCGAACAATTAATCCATTGATCCACTAAAATTCATTAAAAATCCTTGTTCAGATATAATTTTGAAAAATCTCATGTTGAGTTTGAGCTCAGATGTCCAGAATTTTACATGGATGGAATATACGAAATTGATGGAAAACTTCTTGGTGTGCCAATTCAAGGAAAAGGACCCTATTGGATTCGTTGCAGTGAGTCTTTAGATGTATTGTTAAAATCAGAACCATGTTAGAGAATTCGTTGCAAAATGAATAGTTCCGTATTATATAGTAATTCACAAATAGACATGCAAGTTCAGATGAAAATTTAAAGGTAATATAACTGTGAATAAAACTGTGGAACGTGGAGAATGCAAACAGCCTATGATGCATAGATCTCGATATCTTTTTGCAATGATAAACCACCGTGTTTATTAAAAACTGTGAAAAGTAGTGCGGGATGAGGAAGGGTTTTTTTCTTACCTTCTGATAATAATATGTCTCCACGATGCGTAGTGTACTCAAAAGTGGGCCTACCCATGAGTGTATATGTCCTGAATCAGACTATTTATCATAATTAATTATGTAATCTTTAAAAATTAAAATGACAATTTCAGCACAACGTGGATGTTTCATTAATTCTATAATTTTGTAGATAATTTTACAGCAAACGGGTAACTGTTATAACTAATAGCATAAGTGAGATACTTAATATCGAAAAAATAGCAAAATGTCGAAATGAAAGTTCAAATCGGAATGCCTTCTTAACAACATAAAAATACACTAGAACCTAACCATCATTGTCATCAACTTTTTCTCCACTGTCCTCCCTAGCTCTCGCCGATAAATATTCTTCATTCTTACGTATACAACTCCTTCCTGACGAACGCTTAGAATCGACAAAATGTGTTCTACGTTAACTATACGTTCTGCAATAGACATGGCCCATCGCGATGCTATTTCATTATTAGGGCTATGTAAATAAATGGTCTTAGATTTTTTCAATTGAACTATACGAGATCAAAGTAAGTCGTTTCGCGAGATTCAATTAATCTTGATCGTGAGAAGTAAAAATATACTCGTTAAAATGGAACTTTAGGCTTTCTAAGGCTTTCTTCTTATGTTACACAGTCTGAGTTAATTCCACACACTGTAGAACATGATATTCGCTTATTAAACAAATATAAACGTTAGTTTTATTATAATTTTCAGAGGACTACTTAGTTAATGTAGACGCCGAAACTACTAGAGTTGTCGGGGAAGATAACAAAATGCATCTTGCAATTAAAAACTTTAAAGTAAAGGCTGATCTGAGAGGAGGCATGGATCTTCAACTCGATAACCTATTTAATGGAAACAAACAATTGGGTAAGAATTTTTTTACATCTCGACTATTTTCTTATTATTGTCTTTTGTAAGTACATAGAACCGTTTGTCTATACGGCTCACAGGATGGTAAGTAGCTACTATCATTCATGGACTTCAGCAAAGTCAGGAGCACAGCCAAATCGTTATATAGTGCTGAGGACTAACCACAAACCTCGTTTGAAGAACTTTTAGCGGCTTTTCCATTATCGCCTTAACTGGACTTAACTTTTACTGGTGGTGGGACCTCTTGTGAGTCTGCACGGGTAGGTACCACCTCACTTATTTCTGCCGCGGAGCAGTCATCCGTTTCGGTTTGAAGGGTGGGGCAGCCGTTGTAACTATATTGAGACCTTAGAACTTATATCTCAAGGTGGGTGGCGCATTTATATTGTAGATGTTTATGGGCTCCAGTAACCACTTAACACCAGGTGGGCTGTGAGCTCGTCCACCCATCTAAGCAATAAATAAAAAAAAGGAGACAGTTTCCGTTCGTATTATATAGGTGCTTCATTACAGCTACAACAGAGTTATGGCTATTCCGCCTTTTTTGTTTTTCGGTTCGGGGCAGCCCCTTATACTAATTTTATGCTTTAATATATAGTATCTCCAGAGACTTCAAGAACCTTTCAATGCCAAAGATAGTTATAAAATACAGATAAGCATGAAATGTTTTCTATCTCTCTTTCAGCCGATCCTGTAAATAATTTAATAAAACTAAATTGGAGTCCTGTTGCTAAGATATTACAAGAACCGACATTCAACGGCAACTTGAAGACGCTGTTCAAGAATTTCAACAAGTATTTAAAACTCATACCCATTGAAAACATAATCCTGGATTAAAATATAGTTCTTGAATTCTGATATATATTTTTTTTTTAATTAAGATTTGTTTTATTATTTTTTCTTCGATTATTGTGGAGTCGCACACGTAATTAAAACTAGTTTTATCGTTTAATTTAGTCTTAAGCATTCACTCACTATCAGTCATCCGTGACCACGAAAACTGTAAGAATGTTTTCTGACTTCGAATACTTTATATATAATAATTATATATTACAATGAAAATGAGGTTGTTAAGAGAGTGTTAACTATGAATGTGAAAGGATTTAGAGGAAGAGGTAGACCTAAGAAGAAATGGATGGATTGTGTGAAAGACGATATGGGTAGGAGGGGAGTGAGCGAAGAAATGGTATATGATAGAAGAGTATGGAAGGAGAAAACATGTTGCGCCGACCCCAGGTGACTGGGAGAAGGGCAGGATAATGATANTTTATTTATTTATTTATTTATACTTTATGCACAAAACAAAACTTGTACACAGGCGGACTTAATGCCATGGGCATTCTCTTCCAGTCGACCATAGGGTGGTGCAGAGATAATGCATGGTAGGTGCATTGACAAAAGAATAACAAACAACAACAACAAAACAAAAAAAAAAGAACAAACTCAAAACAAAAATCTTCCTTAAAATAACATCTCAGTATTATAGAATACACATACTACAATTCAATATACCTATATATATAAAATAGTAAAATACATACATACACATAATTACACACAATAATATACACATGAAAATACACAATTTAGTATTATAGTTAAGAATGGCTAAAAGTAAATATATATATATATATATAATATAATAATAATAATTGAAAAATGTAATAAATTAGTTTGGAGATGATTCTTCCAGTTTTTTGTGGATGTATTCGCGAACTTTGAGTTTAAAAGTAAAGCGATTGCTGATCATCCTGATTTCTTTGGGAAGCGAATTCCATAATATTATGGACTGTACAAATGGAGTGTACTTTAGGCCACTTCAATTTTTTAAACTCAACCAACAGTATTATGTGTCGGTGACAACATAGTGATCCTATAAGGTTTACGCTGTTCTTTCTTTTGAGGTCCGGAACCTTAAAAAAAATTAATTGTTTTATAAACTTAAATTAATGATTTAAGATAATCAAAACAGTAAGATGTTTTGAGCATCGCTTTATGGTAACTTCTTTTTTATTCATTTCAGTGTCAGCTATAAATGAGGTTGTGTTCACGAAACCATAGCCAGTGAGGAAAGCACAGTGTTAGTTAAAACAACATGTATCGAATATTTTTAATATTGTTTATTTGTTTTTTAGGGACGGAAACGTTTTCAGGTGAGTTTTTTTTTAAATTCAAACGTCGTTTGATAATTTGTAATAGTATATTTTCTTATTTCGTTCCCTATTTTTAATACTCTTTTATTAGCTTCATACTTATGATAGTATCTATGGTAGTCTGTAACGGGATCTTTGAACATGATTTTGACCCCTTTCAAAACGTTGGGTTATTTCGAAATTTGGCATACATATTAAGGACCGATGACAATTCAATATTTCAAACAGTTAGATCCTCACTAGAAAAAACGGAATTAGTGATTTTTTGTTTTCCTGAAAGCCGGACTGTTTTTGCGTCAATACGCAGAAGGGAAGTTATCAGGGGCCCGAACACTTTCTTGGATAAGTTACCGACTTTGATTAAGATGAAATTTTCGGAGAGGAAGCCTGAGAATCGGCTATCTCATTCAAGGGGAGCAGACGCCCAAATTCGTCATTTCTCGGATAGGCTACCGACTTAGAATAAACATCAATGACTTCTCGATTTTATTTAAAGTGTGTGTTACAGTTAAATATCATTATGTCAATAATTATTATTTTGTACAGCGATTGAATTAGGCTTTGTTAATATTGTGAAAGAGCTGTTAATATTCGGGACTGGTCCCAACATTGTTTTAAGTAACGATTTTAACTATTGCCTGCCGTCATGGTCAGCGTAAAATTATTAATTTATTATAAAATTATTTATTAATTAATAAAGGAGCTTAAGAAAATTGTAGAAACCGTCAAGGTTTTTTTACACTATTTATAATTCAAATTTATTAAAATTTGTTGTCTATTTTTAGTTGAATTTTCTATAAAAGCGTGTTTTTAGTTTTTTTTAAATATTATTTATTCTGATTACCATCTGATTGAGCGGTGCTACCGCAGCTTGAGTTCGCGCTGATGACTACCGCCATTCTTTCTATTTCTGCCGCGAAGACAACTCATGTTTCAAGGTTGGTAACGGCATTTACGTTGTAGATGTCAATGGACTCCGGTAACCACTTAACACCAACCCGTCCTTACTGTTTTTACCTGTTTTTCTAATGCATTTTTCTAATTTTAAACTGGTTAAAGTTTCTAATTTTAAAGTGGATGTCGATGTATATTATTTTGTCGATGGCTTTGGGAACCGTTAAATTAAATCTATTATATATAAATACCACAATACTACAGCGAAACGCATCTCGATCGAACTGCAAGAGTGAAAATTAGATTTCAATATACGATTTCACAGTAGCGACACCGTCTGTATGTTTCTGTTTTTTTTCCTCTACCTGTTCGCTGATAGCCTAAGGGGCTATTCCAGCTACGGGTAAGTAAGCTCACGGGCTCAACTTGACAGAATATGCTAACACTAGCCCTGGCAAGACCAGTGCTGCGCAGAGTCTAGCACCGGATCGGAATCGCGACCCACTGAGAAGATTCGGCGAGAAACTCAGTGGGCTGTGTCTATGGGTTAGTTCACTCTTCGTCGTAATCGACGAGTTGGACGAGGACGATGACCTGCTTGAGAGACTTAAAAGCACCGAGTGTGAATCCAGGGGAATAAATTAAGATTGACCTTCAAATTAATGACAGCTTCAGAAAATTCAACAAATAATGAACTTTATTATTAAAACTAGACTAAACATTTTAGCGTTGTATATTAAAACCGGTCTTAAATTATTATTATTTTTGTAATTAAGATACTCTGTTCATTAAATTAATTTGACGTTTCAATACTAATTTTAATTATATTTTGGAGACATCAACTTATTACATTTCTATGTACATATTACAGACATTCCTTCAGTCAAAGTCTTTGTGCGAAAAAGTACCAATCTGTACAGCCACATCGATTAGTAACACCAGTAATTCTTACAAGAAATTGAATACCATTTTGCATATCTCGTCTCGTCACATGAGATCGATGTCTCAACTGCATTGTATATGACCATACCAATTATAAAACCGGAACTCATACCGGTTTGCGACAGAAATTGACAGTGTAGTGGTTGGTGTCAATACGATCCACTAATTGAACCTAATTTATCCTTTTTACGAACTTGATTTGTATTATATAATACACGATGTCATTTGCATAGCTGTTTAAAGTGCGTATCTTTTTTTCAAAGCTATACCTGCGTTTAAAATCTTTTGTCATTCCAGTTCCGTCTCTATCTCCGTGTAAGAAGGAAGATAATGTGTGCCTTTTGAAATTGTCTAAGGCCATTTATGCTCTGGCTGTGGTCGGAAACCCTGAACTGCAGATCGAGTCTTCGGACCCCCTTCAGCGTGACGAAATCATCGGTAACCTTGGTGTCATCAACTACAAGCTTTTTAACAACACATGCCTCGGCTACAAGCGTTGCGAAGTACTAAATTCAAAGTAAGCTTATTCTCTGTTCTACTGGAAGACGATCGTGTTAATAGGGAATAAACACATCGGAAGGCAAAGATTAGGGTCTGTTCCTAGCATTGCTGACGTCCATGGGCGACGGTAACCACTCTCAAGCAGGTGGGCCGTAAGCTCGTCTTCCTACAAGGGCAATAAAAAAGTCTTAAAACTAACTAAGAGCTCCGGTAACCAAAAACACCTAGTGGGTCATCTTAAGCTCCTTCAGAGCTTCTAAGCTTCAGAAGCTCATATAAAACACAAAGTGAATGGAGCTTTAGGTTATAATATTATAGTCCTAATTGTAAATGTATGACTTCAGTCAGACTAAATAGTCAGGTTGGTGGTACCATACTACGTCACTAGCTTTGCAGATTTATTTTAACAATTAATCATTGAACCACTAACATTCATTTTAAATCCTTGTTCAGATACAATTTTGAAAAATCTCATGTTGAGTTTGAACTCAGATGTCCAGAATTTTACATGGATGGATTATACGAAATTGATGGAACACTTCTTGGTGTGCCAATTCAAGGAAAAGGACCCTATTGGATTCGTTGCAGTGAGTCTTTAGATGTATTGTTAAAATCAGACCTATGTCCGAGAATTCGTTGCAAAATGAATAGTTCCGTATTCTTATAATTCACAAATAGAATGTTTAGACATGCAAGTTCAGATGAAAATTTAATAGGTAATAACTGTAAATTAAACTGTGGAAATGTGGAGAATGCAAAGAGCCTATGATGCATAGAGCCCGATATCTTTTTGCAATGATAAACCACCGTATTTACTAATATGTCTTGTATATGTCTTAAATCAGACTATTTATCATAATGAATTATATAATATTTAAAAATTAAAATGACAATTTCAGTAAAACGTGGATGTTTCATTAATTCGATAGTTTTGTAGATAATTTTACACTAAACGGGTTATGATATAATTAATAGCATTAGATACTTAATATCGAAAATATACCTAAATATCGAAATGATATTTCAAATCGGAATGCCTTCTTGACACCATTAAACCCAAAATAGTAGAACCTAACCATCATTGTCATCAACTTCACGCCCGTCTCTCCACTGTCCACCCTAGTTCTCACCGATAAAAATATTCTTCATTCTTGCGTATACAACTCCTTCCTGGTGATCGCTTAAAATCAACACAATGTGTTCTGCGTCAACCATACGTTCTGCAATAGACATGGCCCATCGCAATTTTTGCTATTTCATTATTAGGGCTCTATGTAAATGGTCTTAGATTTTTTCAATTGAACAATACGAGATCAAAGTAAGTCGTTTCGCGAGATTCAATTAATC